TTTCAAACTCTTATCGTGTGTGTTCAATAGATGTAATTCAATGTTCGTCGTGGCATATAGCCAGGAAAGTAGTTGTTTTCTATTGGATAAACTGAAAAAGAGTTGATATTCTCATCACATAGAGAATGCGAATTCTCAATGTATTGCTTTATATAAATATATATTAATTTTTGTATGTTCATAATTTGTCTGAGAATATTCCTTTTCAATAGTTTTTTTATTGAATTCACCAAACCTTCCTTCCTTGAACCAGACCTTGATAGCAAAATTATCAGTTCCTGAGATACAGTATCTCGTCACCCTTATTGAATCACCTTCGGCTTGCTATTCGCCAGATTATGTGGGGATTTTGAGCTGAGTGAAATAGTCATAAGTGATATAATAATAGTAATATCGTTTATTTTTGCATACATCAGAAATAAGTTTCTACAAAAAACAATTTAGAAAAGATCTAGTTCAGCCCCTTCAAATATTGTTCCAGAAAAAAAAATTTATACGTTCGCTTGGTTACAAAAGAGAAAACAAATCAAGAACAGTTAACAATATCTTCAGTTTTTCATCTATGCATAAAATGATATAATAATAAATTCAGTTATATTGGGTGATACAGAAGAGAGAGAGTTATCTGAATATTTATATATTATGTACATACATTTATAATCTTTATTAGCTTTAAGACAATTCATGAAAAATTCAAGGCACATTAAGCAATTGTTTTTTAAGTTTTGAATTGAATTTTACAAGATGTCACTCCTTCCAGGCGGAGATCTTCTGCAGTTGGTCGAGCGAAAAAAAAACAAATATATACCTATGTACTTGCAAACATTATACGTATACACGATTCGTCTTCACAGCTATAATTTGAATTATTTCCATAAATAGGCACTGGAACAAAAATATTTCATCATAGTCATTAATAAAAACAAGATTTACATTTACTTGAAAAAATCCATGTTTGTTAAAAGATCTCCAGAATTCATAAGTGTGAAAGAATGCAGGCCCACATGTTGGTGCTTTCGAATATTTTCTTTAAATCAAACAATTTAGCCTTTTATAGAGCTGGTTATAATGTTTGTTCCCTATCAGCTACCCACCCGGTCTATGCGCGGTTTAAAATAGGGTCTTAGGTTATTTAAGTAATTTCCTTTGTCCAACAATAATGTATAGTTACATTCAGACTTTTCAACGGTGCTTAAAAACTAACATAAGCGTTGTTTGCTTCTTACAGATCTTCTTCTTTTTATAAATTTGCTGAAGATGAATGATTAATCCTTCGAAACATGTCCTTTTGTCATTGAGCGTTGGTCCTTATTAAATTGTTTATGTGGTGGAGCTGTGACTGTAAGTTCTTTCACCCCTCCTGAAAAATACAGGGTGTTCTATTTGAAAATAACAAGCTATAAAGTCACATCCGGAGATACTATAGAAGTGACTCAATAAATAAAATAACATCAACCAATATGGAATAGTAATCTAGCGTATTCAGATCTACCTGATGAATAGTCAACGATTTTCATTTCTTCAATAGGTAATAATTATTGTCTTCTTCTTTCAGTTCACTGTGAATATAAAGTATAGTTAAGTATAGGTATAATTTTCAGTTGAAGAGTTTTTTTATATAGGACTTCATATTTCAACTATTCTTGATCATTATACACTGCGTTCATGATAAGATGTCTATCATCGGGATATAGGAAAACATGAGAGATAAGTACGAAGATGGTTGAATTAGAAGGAAGTTGTCCATTTTCAGGCCTGATAATGTGCAATTCAGGAAGTCCTGAGAGTCCGAGTGTTTCCGAGGATATGCAGATATGTATAAGAAACCGAAATTTTCCGAATCTTTTTTTTTTCTGACGTTATTCATAGATATATAGGAAAACAGAAGACACTTTTTCATCGCCAATTTTCGAGCTTCATGAAACAGCGTAGAGAGACTTTATACAGAGTTTACTTTTTATCGGTCATATAAAAAAATGAAGTTGATGATGGTCTTTTCAAAAAGAAACGTTGTGATAAAAAACTCTCAAAGTCGTTTTGTAGAGCTTGAAAAGTGACAATGAGGAAGTGTCTTTTGTTTTCCTACATTTCTTCAAATAACGTCAGAAAAAAAAGAAAACGAAATCGGTCGGTTTTTTTCAGTTTCTTAGGCATAATATCTCCAGAATTGGAGTGCCTCGAACATTTTACGCTCTTCAAAGAGTGTGGACACACTTGTCATATTGTTGAACAGCTGAACAAAAAACATGAGACACAAATGTGTTTTATAAGTGATGGAATGCCATTTTTCTGTGCCCCTTCATCGAACGAGTGCATAACACCAAAGGCACGTAATGCTCATTATGTCGATTAATGTATGTCTGTGAAATGAATATTGAAATTCGAAGCTTCAACAAACACTTGAAATGTCGTCGTCGTGTTTGGAAAACTCCATCATTCCCTTGATTATGAATACTCAATGATCATTCTTAGATTCAAACATCTTCAACCCCGAGATAGACATCCTCATCTTGGACACACTGTAAATAAATCTATAGTATTCTATAATCACTCATATTCATGGGCGATGTAGAAAATAGATATTCATTAATTTTCTATAACGATCGGCCTTGCCCAAGGACAATAAAACGTTACCTATTGAATGAATCGCGGTCTATACACTTTGTTATAAATAATTAGCTCTTCGTGTCTTGAAAACGATAAAAGGTGGACCGAACACCGAATATATTAGTAATATTCGTTTTTTTTCAAGATAGATATACCACTTTATATATTTTTTATATTGCTTGAATTTCCAAGGCAATACAGACATAAATGGTTTCAGCCTGAAGTGTCTACCACCTACTAACATTGAAAGTAATACAATTAATGATATGATTAGAGTCACTCAAACCAATTACATAAGAAAATCCATATTCCGTGTACTGTAGATATACATATAGATCTTCGGTCTTCTGACATTAGTGACGTATCTCAGTTTTGACGCAGGTTAATAGAAAAGCAATTTAAAAATGAACGTTCTTCATATTGTTCCACTCATGATTTTTTTTTATCGATTGATGAACCAGAATTTGTTATGATACGCTCAAATATTGCAGCAGTATCATCAATGACTGAGAAATTGTGGATTTAGTGAGATACGTAAATACGAAATTCTATAAAAAAAATGAAATATTCAGTAAAAAATTCTTTGTACTGAGAATGAGGTTCTGTGTCTCAGAATATGGTTCTGAGTCATAAATACCGCAGTCCATTGCAATATATACAGGGTGCGGCACCGAAAACGAAACAGAGGCTCTGTAGGTCGCCAAAACCGGATTATGAAAAGAATCTGAAACACGTCAACTACGTTTTCGAGGGGGACATCGTCCTACAATATTTTCAGCCCTGCGGCGTTGCCGCTGCTAACGAAAAAAAGCAACAACTTTGTTATTTCAAATGGAACACCTTGTATTTCATTGCATTTTTAGATTCTCCCCGAAGAGCTGATTTCATCAATGCATCACACTTGGGGTCTAGCTGTAATGGTTTCAGGGATATAAAGTGTTCAAAATCGAGATTTCTCAACTTTGGCATTTTTTTGTGTCGAAACTATTCATTATTGGTCGAAACGGCTCTCATGTCCCTATATCAACTTGTGATTTACTATCTACTGACATTTAATTGGAACAGATACAGGGTGATCAGAATTCTGAATCTTGAACCACCCTGTATTTGTTTCAAATAAATGTCAGTAGATAGTAAATCACAAGTTGAGATCGGGACATGAGAGCCGTTTTGACCAATAATGAATAGTTTCGACACAAAAAAATGTTAAAGTTGAAAAATCTCGATTTTGAACACTTTATATCCCTGAAACCATTACAGCTAGACCCTAAGTGTGATGCATTGATGAAATCAGCTCTTCGGGGAGAATCTAAAAATGCAATAAAATACAAGGTGTTCCATTTGAAATAACAAAGTTGTTGCTTCTTTTCTTTAGAAGCGGCAACGCCGCAGGACTGAAAATATTTTAGAAAGATGTCCCCCTCGAAAATGTAGTTGACCTGTTTCAGTTTTTTTTGATAAACCGGTTTTGGCGACCTACAGAACCTCTGTTTCGTTTTCGGTGCCGCACCCTGTATAGGATTATACGATATTACTTATTTTTTTATTTTTTTTTGTTCTGCTTCCCACAAAAGGAATATCATGTAATGTTCAGAAAAGATCGTGAGAACCAAGGGAAATAAGGTAGGGATTGCTGTTCTTCTTAAATTTCTGGAGGTTATATGCCTCGGGGAACACCTCTCTCGGCAATATGTTCCAGAACCTCGCTGTTCGTTGGATGAACGAGTCTTTGGAAAGAGATGTTCTGCAGGTCTCCAAAGTGACCACGAAGGAGTCCGAAGCCTCAACTCGACGGGTTAATCTCGCGGGGACTGCCGAGGGAGGAACAATTGTTAATATTTTGAGGAGAGCATCATCCATGAAAATATCTATAAAATAGAGTCAGATCGCCAACTTTTCTACGGTGTTCCAGAGAAGTGAGTGGGTTTGTGAGCGAGCCATCACCCACGAGACGAATTGCCCTTTTTTTGATAGAATCCAACAGTTTCAGCTCATGTTTGGGTGCAGCACTCCAAATACGGAAACAGCATTCCAGGACAGGTCGGATCTGTGCCTTATTGATCATTTGTTATATGTACCTCAGTTCACTTCTACCGTGGAAGTGAATTCTCACTTCTATGTGGAATGTGGATGTATTATAACAGATATTATACTATATTGGTGCTTATCGGTATATCACTTTATCGAGAGCTAGCGTTTTTGAGAGGTGAATATTTTTATTATTGAATTGTGATGATTTCGATTATGAATGACTAGCATAACAAAAGCCATCAACACTGTATATAGATATATATCCGGGAAAAAAGTTATTCATGAAAAGTGACATTTCATAACCCCTCAACAGAGATGAAATGTCAAACTTTTTTCCTGTCACAGAAAAAAAAGCATCAATTTTTTACTAAAAGTTGTATTTGGCAATAAATAATTCATGAGCAACAAACACGCAAAACAAATCAACCCATCCGCGACATCCTAGTGGTAGTAAGCTGGACCGACCACCCCGTGGCTGACAGGAGCAGCATAACCTTGAACGAGCGGGGCAGCATAACCGTGGGCAACTGGGGCAGCATAACCGTGAACAGGTGCCACAGCTTTGACGTGAACAGCTGCCGGTTCCCTGCGCACCACAGCGTTGAAACCGTTGTGAGCGTCAGCAGTGTAATCCACGGTACGTCTACTACCATCAGCTTCGATGAGGGAGTAGCTGCCCTGAACGGCATCGCCACGGCGAGACTCTTGTTGGCTCTTGCTGTCTCCGGTGTGAGGGTCACTGACAGCGTACCCGAAATCGTATTGGGCAGGCGCCGATGGTTCAGCGACGATGGCCTTCGCTACTGGGGCAGCGTAGGACAGCGCTGGGGATGCGTAGGACAATGCTGGTGCAGCCACTTTCAGCGCTGGGGCAGCGTAGGACAGAGCTGGGGCGTAGGACACAGCTGGAGTAGCCACTTTGAGCGCTGGGGCGGCGTAGGACAGAGCTGGGGCAGCGTAGGACAGAGCTGGGGAGGCGTAGGACAGTGCTGGGGAGGCATAGGACACGGCTGGGGAGGCGTATGCGACTGGGGCGGCAACTTTGGCGATCAGAGGGCTGGAGACACTCGAGTAGGACACTGCTGGGGCCGAAGAGTAGGCTACTTTGGCTACTGCTGGGGCAGCGTATGCCAGAGGTGATGAGTAGGCTGGGAGAAGTCCGGCGCGGGTGACAGCTACGAAGGCAGCGAAAACGACGAACTAGATAAAAAAAAACAATTACTGGCTATCAATGATTCTTGTACTAGTTTGATTATTGATTTTCATGGATCTTCTCATCCATATACCAACATATTAGGCCGTAATTGAACTAATATTTTGAAATGTATATTTCATCAAACAAACCGCTTGGATGCATTTTTCCATAAATCTTCCTTTTTTGATTCCTACTACAGTTCATTCAAAAGCATATTATTCTTGAACGAGGAGTTTTTTCAAATCTCTAATCTATAGAAAATACCCACTGATTTGCTGAATTCCGTACGATCATTGTGAAATGGATACTCCTAACTTCTTTTGATGTGAGGAAAAATACTATGTTGTACTACTGGTATTGCACCGGTTTGAGTTCAGAATGAGTGAATTATCATCATGTCACGTGATAGTAACTGAGTTTTGTCGATAAACTCAAATTTTGTATGTACAATAGTCTAGTAGGTATAGTATGAAGAAATAAATCATCACTGTATGCATCAATGATCGTATTCTTTGTTAGATACCTAATGAAAAATGATTTTTGTATATTGATCTCTTTTCACATACGGTATAGGCGAACTAGGATTACTCGAAGTGAATCTTCGATTTAAATATGGAAACACTCCTGTATCTTACCTAATTGTTGAGTTAGGATTCTGAAATTTGCAGGATTGGGATAGGTATACCGAAAATATACACTATCACCAAGTGGGGTCATTTCCAATGGCATACAATGCTTGCCAAAACCCATAGAACCAGTCACATTTCTGGCAAATTATATCAGAAGACAAGATAGGTTGACAATCTCTTTGGATAAGAAATCAGGACGTCCAATTCAATAAATATCTATATATTTTCTGGAACATTTTCAATTCTAAAAAATGGAATTTCATCTCACAAATTTCAGAATCCTACCTCAATGATTACGTAAGATACGCGGGAGTGCTTCCATGAAAAGTGAGACAGAATTACATTTTTCAGAACTGAAAATTTTCCCGAAAAGGTATGAATAGTTATTAAACTGGACGTCCTGATTCCGAATCTGAAGTTATATTCAACCTATCTTGTCTGCGAATATCATTTTCCGGAAATGGCTGTTGGCGAGCTATGTATATCACAAGGATATCACTGAAGATGACCCCACTATTTCTGGTATATATCGCTAGCTCCTGCTAATTCAAGAATCCTAACTCAACAATTACTTGAGTTACAGAGGTGCATCCATTAGAAGTGATACACACTGTATGAAGAAAAGTACATACACATTTCATAATTTTTTTCCAATGGTGGAAATCTGTTGAATATCTCAAATTTGACGTGATATTTTGCTCAGTTACTCAGCTACTTGACTATATGGGGTCAACTCGATCAATTACTGATCAACAAAAAATGATAATTGATGAAATTGATTTCAAATAATTTGGAAACACAGAGAATTGAGAAAAATAATAGGAATACTCATTAATTACAAAATTTTTCTAGATTTTGCGTTGGTTGTGGACCACATGGATAATGATAACTTTTTATCAAAGGCTTCTTCAATATTCCAAACTTTTTTCCAATCATGGGTGTTATTTGATCTCAATTAAAATTCATTCTTTTCCAAAACTGTCTCAACCACATCACATCAGTCGAAAAAAATAGAACTTTCATTATAATATACCAATATATATTATATTATTATATATTAAATAGTTATTTATTATTCAAGGAAAAAAAGTTGTAGTTTTTAGCTCGTAAGACGTAACCGCGAAGTCTAATGGAAGATGAAAGGATTTGCAATTATTTCTCGGAGACGGTGTTGATTTTTCGGAACTATAGCATAACAAACGCCATCAACAGTGTATACAGGGTGTATCCAAATAACACCGAAAAAATTCAAGGGGTGATTCTTACAGGATGTATCTAAATAACACCGAAAAAATTCAAGGGGCGATTCCTCTTGATATTTTTGGAAATAAAGTTCATATGAACATGTGTCCTAACTTGTTTCGTTTTTGGGGTACAGGGTATTGATGTTTTGACGAAAAATCGTTTTTTTTATAGCTCAATTATATTTCCATCAATTTCAATAAAACGATGTGGTTTTGTTGATAGTAATATGAAGCTTCATCTGGTGCAATTAGATTTGAAATAATATTTCCAGTGGCGCTTCAGTGGGTAAAGTTTCATATTTTTATTAAATTGAACTATTGAAATAACAACTTTTTATTCTTTGTGTGATTTTAGTATCTAGCTTAGCTTTTGAGGAAACAATAAATATTCGATTTGATTCAAAATTTTAATGTAGGTTTTTTCAAGACTTCCAGTGAGATAACTCAATATCCCCAATTACAATCATTTTGAAATTTTAGGGCTGTTGTCAACCATACTGAATTTTGGCACAATGAAGCTTATACAGGGGGGTTATAAATAAAAATAATTGATACTTCCTATTTCAACATCCTGTATCTCAAAAGCGAAGTAAGTTGGGACACATTTTTATATGAATTTTATCTGCTAGAATATCACGAAGAATCACCCCTTGAATTTTTTCGGTGTTATTCAGATACATCCTGTATACAGGGTGGCATTGAAATAAGTGCAAATATTTCAAACACTGAGGAAGCTCGACGTGTACTATCGAATGGCACTAATAAAAAAAATTCAGGGATCAAAATAAAATTTGAGGTTAGACCTCCTTTTCCACCCAAAGTTCTACACTGTAGCAAATCTGAGGTCACCTCTGTTCAAATTTCCATGCAGTAGGCACAATCACGTAGATTTCAATCATTCAAATTGTTTAAAAGTGGCGTACTCGATTTTTTTTCTCGTATTTCGTTCAATTTTTGGAATGGAATTCCTCGTTAATTGAAATATTCAGAAAAAATCTGATACCATGAGAATATTCCTTAGACTGTATCATATTAATGTGCTGAATATGTACACTTATTTCAAAAACACCTTGTATATGTGATATATATCCGGGAAAAGAGTACTCACTTTTCCCGAGGGAGAAAGTAATTTAGGAAAAGTGACATTTTAAACTTTTTTCCCGTCACAGAAAAATAGTTAATTATTATACAAGGGAAAAAAGTTGTAGATTTCAGCTCCAGGTTGTGTTGTCTCCCGACGCGTAGCGGAGGGAGACAACAAACCGTGAGCTAAAATCTAATATTTTTCCCGTGTATAATACACTATTTTTTTCTGTCACAGCAGAAAGGACGAATCAATATTAAGAAGATATTACATTATTTTGGAATCTGAAATTTATCGACGTGAAATTTTAAGTTTTCAACAGTAGGGACACCTGCGTTGTAGGAATCTTTATCATTCTTTTGAAGTAATCAAATATCTGATGTCACTTCTGTCAATCTAATTCTGTGATTTGATTTCAAAAAATTGCGAATTTAGTGGTTGTTTAGTAATATACGTAACTGCGAAGTCGAATGGAAGATAAAAGGACTTGCAGTTCTTTCTCGGAGACGGTATTATTGACTCATTTTTCGGAACTATAGCACAACAAAAGCCATCAACAGTGTATATATATGTGATATATATCCGGGAAAAAAGTACTCACTTTCCCACGGGAAAAAAGTAATTTTTGAAAAGTGACATTTTTTAACCTGCCAACAGAGAAAAAATACCAAACTTTTTTCCCGTCACAGAAAAACAATTTTTTTTCACGAACATTTGCTAGATGCTTAATTCACTGAGTAAACTTTTTTTTTCAATATCTCCCAATTTACAGTTGCAACGTACTGATTTACAGGCAAATATAAGTGAAAAAAAAAGTTTTTCAGGATGGCAGTTCAGACACATCGCAAAATCACAGAAAACTTCAGATTTACTCACTTTGAAAGCCATGATGGTTTCTCGAGATGCACTATGCATTCAGTCGGGTGGTGGCCGCATTTATATATACTTGCACTTGCATCGTCCAATTGTGGCAAGGCGGGCTTTGGGTGGAGGACCTTTCACTATCACGTTCCGAAAGGACCGTATAGTCAGGGTTTCGGCCGAAATCCCGGTTTTTTTCAAGTACTACGAGTCTGGCACTGTCAATCACTGTTCATTACAAGGGCGTCAATATTGCATTACATCTGATAGCGTGTACCATGACACTTTAATAACAAAGTTGCCAGCTTATGGCATCAGAAGTATACCACTCAAATTAATTTCATCCTTTTTAGAACATACAGCAATGTTCATGTTGATGCTGATGACGAACTCCTAAAATCTTTTTTTTAAGTTCTGGTTCCCACGAATGCAAACAGTCTGAATTAAGAGAAAAATGTCTGAATTCAGACTTTAAAGTCTGAATAAAGAAATAAAGAAATAAAATATAATACACACAACAGTGGCGTTTCTACGCTTTCGTACAATGACATCATAATTTGAAGGTTTTGTTCTTTTGCTCCATTATCCTGATCAGGATCTTCAGAATTGAACTTTTTTTTTTCTTGAATAAAATGGTGGATGATGTTCCACCACCAAAATATGAAATATTTCGTCACCAAGATCTCAAATAAACGTTTATTTCCTTCTAATCACTTTTTCGAGCTTTATGAAAGACACGGCAGTGCCTGCACCAAGTATTTTCTTCTATGTTCTGGTTCTCACGAATAGGGATATCCTGTAATGTTCAGAGAACATCGTGAGAACCAAGGGAAATAAGGAAGGAAGTGGTGTTCTTCTTGAATTTCTGGAGGTTGTATGCCTCGGGGAACACCTCCCTTGGCAATGTGTTCCAGAGCCTCGCTGTTCGTTGGATGAACGAGTCTTTGGAAAGAGATGTTCTGCAAGTCTCCACAGTGGCCACGAAGGGGTGCGAAGCCTCAACTCGACGGGTTAATCTCGCGGGGACTGCCAAGGAAGGAACAATTGTTGATATTTCAGAAGAGCATCGTCCATGAAAATGTCTATAAAATAGAGCCAGATCGCCAAATTTTCTACGGTGTTCCAGAGAAGTGAGCGAGTTTGTGAGCTAGGCATCACCCTTGAGACGAATTGCCCTTTTTTGGATAGAATCCAACAGTTTCAGGGTATGTTTGGGTGCAGCACAGTATTCCAGGACAGGTCGGATCTGTGCCATATAGATCATAAGCAGCTGGCTGGAAGTGAAATAGCTCCTGGCCCCAAACAGACAACCAAGTTTTTGGGATGCACTTTTCGCAATTGATCTCACGTGATTTTCCCAAGAAAGGTTATTGCTGATAGTGATACCAAGCATTGAAATGGATGTCATCAAAGGTATGGTTAGTCCTGACATGCTTATGTTTGGCAGAGTGAGATCGGCTTTTCTAGAGAGAAGGCATGATTGTGTTTTGTTTGCATTGAAATCTACCAAGTTATTGGGTCCCCATTCGAGAATTGTTGCCAAGCCCATATTTAAGTTGTCATCATTTCTCCCTCGTTCGTTTCCGATTTGCCTGGCTGGTATTGGAGCCCTGGAAGAGAAGGCGGTATGGAGGGTACTATCATTCGCGAAGCTATGTACTGGTCATGAAGTTGCTTCCAACAAATCGTTGATATGGATTAGAAATTGTGTTGGTGCTAGAATTGATCCTTGCGGAACACCAGCATTTATGGTAAGAGAGTCAGATGAAACTCCGTCGACCACTACTTGGAGAGACCTGTTTGAGAGAGAACTGGCTAGCAGAGCACATAGCTGGGGAGGCAAGCCATAAGATGGAAGCTTGACGAGGAGTCCCTGGTGCCAGACTCGATCGAATGTTCTGGAGATATCAAGTGCCACGGCTAAGGTTTCACCATATTTTTCAATAGATTGCTGCCATATATGTGAGACGTAAGCAAGCACGTCAACAGTAGGTCAACAGTTGATCTCTGATGACGGAAGCCATATTGCCTATCGTTGATAATACCTGAATGTTCCAGATATTTCATGAACTCGATGTTGATAGCTTTCTCCATGATCTTTGAAATAATAGATAGCAGAGCGATCGGTCTATAGTTGCTAGGTTGGGAAAAAATGACTATTGTTAGAGGTGTGCCGCAGGGTTCAGTACTAGGGTCTTTACTATATATTCTTCACACTTATGATTTTACGGAAGTTACCACAGATACAATCGTCCAATATGAAGATGACTGATCACTAATACTCAACTCGGACACTCAACACTTACTACAGAACAATCTCTACTCGACACTACATTATTAGGAAACTACTTCAGTAAAAATAATCTCAAATTGAAGAGCGATAGAACTCAAATAATGAGTCTAGAAATAGCTGCCATAAAAAACTCAATTAAGCTTCGACCTTATTTGTCATCATTTTCCTATATTCAGGTTAACTATAGAGAGTGATTGTGATGTCAAACTAGATGAAAGTTCACGCAATACTTAATAGGCCTTATTTGAATTGTAAATTACGAGAGTCGAATACATATTCAGGATATTATGATTCACGGAGAATCATAATTGGAAGATTGATACCAAATACTAGGTATATGTTTATCAAAGGGTGTATAGCCACAGTTGAGAGAATATTACATGTATAGTATAGCGGCCGGTTTGATACAATAAATTCACTGTTCTAATGCGATATATTCATAGGGATGGCACTTGAATCTTATGCCAAACTACTGACCCAGCCTTTATTCCTCATTGTACGCAATTTTTGTATGTGTCATGGTGTAAAAACTCAGATATTGTGCTTTGATCCGAACTTTGACCTTATTTGTCATCATTTTCCTATATTCAGGTTAACTATAGAGAGTGATTGTGATGTCAAACTAGATGAAAGTTCACGCAATACTTAATAGGCCTTATTTGAATTGTAAATTACGAGAGTCGAATACATATTCAGGATATTATGATTCACGGAGAATCATAATTGGAAGATTGATACCAAATACTAGGTATATGTTTATCAAAGGGTGTATAGCCACAGTTGAGAGAATATTACATGTATAGTATAGCGGCCGGTTTGATACAATAAATTCACTGTTCTAATGCGATATATTCATAGGGATGGCACTTGAATCTTATGCCAAACTACTGACCCAGCCTTTATTCCTCATTGTACGCAATTTTTGTATGTGTCATGGTGTAAAAACTCAGATATTGTGCTTTGATCCGAACTTTGACCTTATTTGTCATCATTTTCCTATATTCAGGTTAACTATAGAGAGTGATTGTGATGTCAAACTAGATGAAAGTTCACGCAATACTCAATAGGCCTCATTTGAATTGTAAAATACGAGCGTTGAATACATATTCAGGATATTATGATTCACTGAAAATCATAATTGGAAGATTAATACCAAATAGTAGGTAGGTTTAACGAAGGACGTCTAGCGTCCGGTTTGGTACAATATCCGTTCAACGGTGAAATATTTCATGTTTCTATTAGTCAACTACTCTCATTACCATTATGATTCTATTACGATTTATACCATTCTATTGCCCATTACGCTTATAAGCGATGACGAATAGCTAGACCCAACTATCTAGATCAATGTCCTGCTCGATTTGGCCATGAAATTATTGTTATTACATTTCTGAAATTCTTGAGTTCTGTAATGTCTAATGTCATAAATAGAATGGAATCATTTTTCCAGATTTTTTGGGATTTTCACTCCTCGTTTTATGAATAATAGATTTTGGCGTAAACATCAGTTGGAAACGCTGAGCTTGTCCCGCAAAATCCTCGTTACCTACACAAAATGTTGTTGTATTGATGAAACATTTCGCTTGAATAGAAATAATGACCAGTTCTACACTTCTACATGAACCGATTATGTACAAAATGTAAGCAAGTTGAATTCAACCGTCACTTCGTCAAACAATTCGTCAAACAATCATCAGCGAAGAAAACGTTTGATATTCTCATTAGTAGAAAGTTCAGAATATACAAGTGATATCGTGGAAGCATCACAAAATGTACTATTTCCTTCTTCCATCCATATTTTCTTATCATTCCTGGTGTTGAAATGAATATTTAATTACCAGTTGTGTGATATTTCACTTAACGCAACTGATTACTTGAAGTGAGACATTGTCAGTTTTGAAAAGTGTCGAATAACATATCAAAATTAGAAAACAAATTCTTCTGATTGATCATTTCGTTTCGGCTTTTGACTGTCCTCAGTAACAGACAGATGTGTGAGTTCAAGGTGTTCTTGAATTAACGTTTTCACCATTTTGATGCTCATATTTGAGGAGATGAATACCATTTTTTTATCGCTTGGAGCGCACGAAAGGGAATCCCTATAATGTTCAAAGAACATCGTGCGTTCCTAGGGAGGATAGGAATAGGAGGTAGGTATGTAGACTATATGTTGTTGGGCATACTTCCTCAGGCAATGAATTCCAGAGCCTAGCCGTTCTATGGATGAAGGAGTCTTGATAAAGTGCTGTTCGACATCTTTCGAGGTTGACAACGGCAGGATGTGCTGACTGGGCTTGTCTAGTTCGTCTGACTGGTATTGCTAGTGAAGGGATGATAGCAGAGATTTCCGAAGAACATTTCCCGTGGAAGTAACTGTAGAAAAGTGGAAGGTCGCCGACCTTTCTACGGTGTTCCAATGATGTCAAAGAGTGAGTGAGTGTGGCGTCACCCACCAGGCGGATGGCTCTTCTCTGGATGGAATCTTAGAGCATCAGCGTATGTTATGGTGCTGAACCCCATTTGTGACTATCTATATATTGGATTTTTCTTTTAGACTCCCTGATAGAAAATTTGTTAAACGCAGTGACATTTTGGGAAAAGTCATCTGATTTGTCCTACTACACATAATATATTGAGATAATACTCATATTTTTATTCAATAGAAACGAGTAGAGAAAATCCCAAATAATCTAGTAGAATAAATAAATGGTAGTTCAAAAGACTAAAGAAACAGGCTTTCATAGTAAGTTGCCAAACTTAAAAAAAGTACAAAATGAATTAGTAAAAGTGTGTTACACATAATATAAAAGATAAGCATCTTCCATAACCAGTTTTTTTTATGTTCTGGTTCCCACGAAGAGGGATATCCTGTAATGTTCAGAGAACATCGTGAGAACCAAAGGAAATAAGGTAGGAATTGGTGTTCTTCTTGAATTTCTGGAGGTTGTATGCCATTCTTATTTTATTTTCTACCTTTTTTTCAACAATGTACTATTTTTTCTTCGCTTAGGGCGCACGAAATGAAATCCCTATATAATGTTCGAAGAACCCCGTGCGCACCTAAGGGAGAATAGGGAGAGGAGGTAGGTATTTACTTTTTTTTTTCACCTATGACCAAATCGTACTCTCTTATATGAACATTTTCTTCATGTGTTCATTTAGAAAACTCTCTGTTTGGATAAATATTTCCAAGTACCCATATACTGACCTACTGCGGTTATGATTTTCTTCACAGATTCATGCCTTTTTATAGAACTCTGATGATTTCCTAATTCGGCGCAAATTGTATATCGATCATTGAATAGCAAAATTTGGTTCGCGTTTTGTACTGATACATATTGATATATTATACTCTGAATGGCAGTAATATAAAGAATCCTCATCAATTCAGAGGATATTGCGTAATTTTCTCAATGCTGATTGAGAATCATTGATACAATTCCAATTAGGTGAATTCGCGTTTTGATCTGCATTAAATATTCTCAAGATTCAAGATAAAACTGAAGTTTCTTCGACCTTCGTTTGGGAACAAGTCAATTGCACCCAATGATAAATTCACTAGGTTATAATCTCCAAATATGTAATACATTTAAGAAACACATAATACCTTTGCAGTAGATTCGCATGTCCACAAAACTCGAAAGAACTGATGAATGACACCTAAGAGATTTGGAACCTCTTTGAGAGTCTACTCTGAAGATTTTTGGATGTATGACAAATCGATATTCTTCATACAGGACGTGAAAAGAAATTCTAAATTGAGAAACAGAGAATATATACCTATAAAGAAATACATCGAGTATTCGCATTCTCTATATGTGATAAGGAAAATATCAATTCTTTCTCGGTCCATTCAACAGAAAACAACTACTTTCCTGGCTATATGCTACGACGAACATTGAATTCACGATAAAAGAATTTGGAAGCTGAATCTTCTAAAGTTGAGAATGTGCATTCTCCTTCAGATAAAAATATGTATTTATATATTATATCATGAAACATCATATTATTCATCAGATTTGAGAGATTGTCGATTCTCAATTTCAAAGGATTCTTATTTTTCATGCTCTCTTTTTGGATGTTCAACAGATATAATTCAATGTTCGACGTGGCAAATAGCCAGGAAAGAAGTTGTTTCCTGTTGAATATTCAGAATGATGTGCAAATACATATTTTTATCTGAAGGAGAATTTACATTTTTATCACATTGAGAATGCGAATTCTCAATGTATTTCTTGATATGTATATCCATTTTTTCATTTTTCATGTTCATAATTTATCTGAAAATATTATTTCTCAACACTCTGAAGATGTTTTTTCATTATTACTTCCGAAACGGTTTGAGCTCAAATAATAGAATTCAAATTTTGCCGAATTCAAATATGAAAATGAATTTATCTCTTGAATTACCCTATATTGTATTATTTTCTCTTGTTCTTGATCTATTCAACGAAAAAATCACTCATATATAATTCAACTACAACGAATTTGCCGAAATATAGTCTATAAATTCTGAAGAATGTTTCCAAACTGCGCAACATTCTCGAAACGTAATCTCGAAATTTTGAGATCAACTTCAACTCATCACTTCATTGACTATCGAACCTTTAGAATGAAATTCTACAAGTTGCTTATCAAAGATGTGCAATTTTGTTTGGAAGGAAACTTTTTCTAATTTTTTGTAAGGTCAAAAATATATTGCACCATCTGTTTTCTCCAAAACATTTTTGCAATTTTTGGAATTGTCATGCACACTTATGTCCGAAGAGATGCTATAGTCCAGTTGATTCTCTTCTTGTGCCTTCAAACGAACCATAATTGTTATAATTCAATGCAAAAAAACGCTATGCATTATCGATTCGTTATTTTCAATTTAAACTCGTCTGGAGATCAGTTTGGTAACCGCATACTGAATGAGTTCATTATCTGTAACTCATTTTGGAATACCCGATTCGTATAGGTTATTTTGTCACAAATAAAGTCATTAGAAGGTTGACTGCATGCAATTTTTCAATGTACCACCATAGATCTCTGCCCACATTCAAAA